GTATAAAATTAAGAGTTCATAGACAAACCTTTATATTTGTTCTGGGCTATGGGTCAGTGGTAAATAGCTTGCCTACTATGAACAGGGCACTGTTTTCAACCCTCAATACTACACACCTAGATATGAGAAAAAAATCAAAATGTGCAGTTATAAATATTGTGATAAACTTATGCTGTTTTACTCTCCTTTCCAAGATGTGAATCATTGCTTTGTTCAGTGTATCCATGCTGTATATACTATTCACTAATTGAGTTCCTTAATAGTTATTTCATGACCAGATTGACTATTTCAGAATCATAGTGCTTGGTTTTGATTAACACTTATTTTACTTAATAATAGTCCCCAAGTACTAGAGTAGTGACACTTTTGATTTGGGTATGCCAAAGAAAAGTGATAAAGTGAAAAGGTGGAAGTTCTGGACTTAAGGAAACAAGAACAATGAAGTATTCTGAAGCTGATAAGATCTGTGGTAAGAATGAGTCTCTACCCATGAAATTGCAAAGAAGGAAAAAGAAATTTGTGTTAGTTTTGCTGTCACACCTCAAACTACAAAAACTATAGGCACAGCATGACAAGTGCTTGGTCAAGATAGAGAAAGGAATTGAATTCGTGGTTTGGTATTATCCCAGTTTTCAAGCATCCACTGCAGGCTTACAATTCATCCCTCAGGGATGCAGAAGGAATGACTGTAATTATATCATTAAACTTTTACGCCACAATTTATAAGGGCTTAATGGGACAAATTAAAATTTCACCCTCTCTTACAAAATTTCGACTCAACAAAAATGTAGCTCTATTGTCTGGTGGCTAAGATATCCCAGTGAATCTCTGTGTAACTCTACACAGGTAAGTATGTATGGCCTGAAAGGAAAGCCCTTGCTAGACTCAGACCACTACTGCTGCCACTGAGAGTCAACAGTCATTCCTTCCAAAGGTGAAAATACTTAGGTTATAATCAACTGTAGGGCTGAGGCTGCAGCTCACTGATAGATCGCTAGCCTACTACATGCAAAGCCCTGGGTTCAATCCCCAACAGTCCATTGTGATAAAGAAGGTATGGCAGAATTCATGGCTATGGGAGTATGTTGTAGAGAATCCTCACATCCCAGGAGATCAGAAAAGCAGAAAGCAGCTGCAACCAGGAGCAAGGCTATACATAACCTTGAAAGGCCTGCCCCTAGCAAGCTATTACCACTAGCTAGACTCCACCTCCTAAAGCTTCCATTGCTCCTCAAAAGAGCACCTCTACCTGGGGAACAAGCACCCAAAACACAAGCATGTAAAATCATGCATTGCTGTGGGATGTTCTGTATGGCAAATGTGTTGCTCTGATTGGTCAATAAATAAAACACTGATTGGCCAGTGGATAGGCAGGAAGTATAGGTGGGACAAGGAGAAGAATAAAGCTGGAAAAGTGGAAGGCTGAGTCAGAGACACTGCCAGCCGCCACGATGATAAACAGCATGTGAAGATGCCGGTAAGCCACGAGCCACATGGCAAGGTATAGATTTATAGAAATGGATTAATTTAAACTGTAAGAACAGTTAGCAAGAAGCCTGCCACGGCCATACAGTTTGTAACCAATATAAGTCTCTGTGTTTACTTGGTCGGGTCTGAGCGGCTGTGGGACTGGCAGGTGAGAGAGATTTGTCCTGACTGTGGGCCAGGCAGGAAAACTATAGCTACAATGTATATATGACAGGAAAGTAGAAGTGGAAATGTCTAACAGGAAGATGGGTGGGATGGGGAGTGGCAGTGAGGGGCATGGATGGGGATGTATTCTCAACATATAGTATTTACTTTTATAAAATCTTTAAAAATAAGTTCATTTTAAAAATTGACTTTATAAAGGACATTTCAGATTCGAACAATAACAGCTATGATGGAGCTCTAGAAATAAACCTGTATTTTTATTCTTAAAAAGCATGTTACAGTGTAGGACTATAGCTCAGTATCTACTAGCCTACCATGTCATGAGGCCCTAGGCTTGATACCAGGCACCTCCAAAGCCTTTTTTCCAAGGTACATCTACTACAAAGTAGATTTGGGAATGAACTTCCAGGAATTACTCCCTATCTGGCCATCAAACTATGCAAATATACAACGGACAGACTGACAACTGAGTAACTATCAATTTTGATCACCAGTTAGAAAGATCGTTAGCTATTAATGAATATAGTCACAGCCTGTGATGCCAAAGTGTTCTGTGCATAAATACAAATTATGCTTGTTTCTGCAGATTTTAAAACAGGGTTGGGGGATAAAGAGATGGCTCAGTGAATACAAGCATGTATTGTTTTTGAAGGGGACCCAAGTTCAATTCCCAGCACCAACACTGGACAGCTCACATCTGCCTCTCTCCAGCTCCAGAGGATTTGAAGTCTTCTTCTGGGCCCCATGGGCACACACTCATGAGCATATAGCCACACAAAAAGGCACACATATACATAATTAAAAATATAATAAATCTTTAAAAAGATAGAGACAATGTGTTCATGGTGGAGTTCCCATGGGAAATGACTACCTTGAGACAGGAAAGGTTAGGTGAGGTTCTTTTGGCTTATGCAGAATGAATTCTCTTTGCTTTGACTGGATGTGAGATTTACTACTGAACATGATCTGTGTGGTATAGGAGATCACTGTGGAAGACCTCAGGAGTGCAGGACCTGCCACTTGTCCATGGTACTGCAATTGGGGATATATTTGACCCCACAGCCATCAGGAGTGAGCCGCTTCTCAGCTACTATGTCTTTACATTCATCAGCAGTAAACTTGGTAAAGCCCCACGTCTTTGAGATGTGGATCTTCTGGTGGCCAGGGAGCTTGAACTTGGCTCTACACATAGCCTCAATCACATATTTCTTATTCTGCAGCTTGGTGCAGATGGACATGATGACCAGGCCAATGTGCCCTGGGGCTGCCCAAAAGGCATACACGTATCTATGTGGAGCCTGTCTGGCCCAGAACAGACATCTTGTTGATGCAGATGACATGGGAAGGGTGGAGCCTTACTTGGATATGGAAGCCATCCTTGCCACAACTCTTTACCATGTATTTGTTGACACAAGTTCAAGTGGCCATCCAGGGCTTTGGAGGAGAGTTGTTCATAATTATTTGACACCATGTGGACACAAAGTAGGAATTCATCAACGTTTGCCTTCTTCTGCCCCAAGTCAAAGATGCAGATCTTGGCATCAGGAATGCCCTGGCAGAAGTCAGACTCTAAGTTTTGTTCTTACAGTACTGGCAATACCAGGCTGGGTGGCGGTGGCTCATGATGACAAGAGGATCTTGAGTGGTATACCCAAGTTTTTTTTTTTTTTTTTTTTTTTTTTTGGTTTTTCGAGACAGGGTTTCTCTGTGTAGCTTTGCGCCTTTCCTGGAACTCACTTGGTAGTCCAGGCTGGCCTCGAACTCACAGAGATCCGCCTGGCTCTGCCTCCCGAGTGCTGGGATTAAAGGCGTGCGCCACCACCGCCCGGCGTTGTTTTTTTATTAATTAAATTTATTCATTTATTTTACATCCTATCCAAAGCTTCCCCTCCCCCCTCTCCTCTCATTCCCTCCCCACCCCTCCCCCACCTCACCCCCACCCACTCCTCCTCTTCTGTTTCTGTTCAGAAAGGAACAGGCCTCCCATGGGTATCAACAAAGCATGGCATATCAAGTTGAGGTAGGACTAAGATCCTCCCCTTTTATTAAAGCTGGGCAAGGCAACCCAGAACGAGGACTGGGTTTCCAAAAGCCAGCCAAAGTATTAGGGACAGCCCCTGCTTGTAGTTAGAGTTTTCCTGCCTGGCCCACAGTCAGGACAAATCTCTGTCACCCGCCAGTCCCACAGCCGCTCAGACCCAACCAAGTAAACACAGAGACTTATATTGGTTACAAACTGTATGGCTGTGGCAGGCTTCTTGCTAACTGTTCTTACAGTTTAAATTAATCCATTTCTATAAATCTATACCTTGCCACGTGGCTCGTGGCTTACCGGCGTCTTCACATGCTGCTTGTCATGGCAGCCGCTGGCAGTGTCTCTGACTCAGCCTTCCACTTCCCAGAATTCTCCTCTCTCCTTGTCCCACCTATACTTCCTGCCTGGCCACTGGCCAATCAGTGTTTTATTTATACAGAACGATATCCACAGCACCTGCTCCCACTGCTAGGAGTCTCAAAAGTAGACCAAGCTACACAACTGTCACACATATCTAGAGGGCCTAAGTCACTCTCATGCAGGTTCCCTGGCTGTCAGTCCAGACTCTGTGAGCTTCTATGAGCCCAGGTTAGTTGTTTTTGTGGGTTCTCTTGTGATGACCTTGACCCCCCTAGCTCTTACAATCCTTCCTCCCTCTCTTCTGCAGGATTCCCTGAGCTCTGCCCAATGCTTGGCTGTAGATCTCTGCATCTGTTTCCATCAGATACTGGATGAAGGCTCTCTGATAACAATTGGGGTAGGCACCAATCTAGCGTCTCTGGAGCTGTGTATTGTAGGCATGGTTATCCTTTACAGCTAATATCTACTTATGAGTGAGTACATACCATGTTTGTCCTTCTGAGTCTGGGTTACCTCACTTAGGATGATTTTTTTCTAGTTCCATCCATTTGCCTGCAAATTTCATGATGTCATTGTTTTTAACAGCTGAGTAACACTCCATTGTGTAAATGTATCACATTTTCTTTATCTGAGAATAAGTTATTTCCAAGCATGATTACCATCCATGTAATCTTAGTAGGGAGATCCAATATCTTTGGGTACAAAACATATTTTCTAATTGTGCTAAGGTAATTACAATGGCAACAACATGCCTGGTGGATTAAACATTGGTCCACAGGGCAGATATGAGCTATGTGAGAAATAGGTACCAGTGTAGGCATAAAGACCCAAAGAGCCAGGAAGGCTCGGGGGAAGGATTGTTGTGAGTTTGAGGTCAGTCTAGTCTGTAGAGTGGTGTAAGGACAGCCTGAGCTCCAGAGTAAGACCTTTTCTCAAAAAAAGACAAACTGAGTCATTATTTTTCATTTATTTAAATTTATTTTAAGTGATCCATAAAAACAAAATTTGTACATATTAATGGGATACCAGATGATATCTCAGTACATGTACACATTGTGTAATATTTAAATCATTTATCCTTTTCCTTATTATTACTTCTTCATAGTAAAAACTTAACAAAATATTTTCTTCTAATTTCTTATGTATAGTACATTAACGATGATCTACAGACACCCTACTATGTAATAGCACAGCAGAACTTTCTTATCTAAGTAACTTGTGACCCTGTTCAACCTTTTCTCACTCAGTCATCCCTCCCCAAATTTTGGTAACAAGCACTCTACTCTCAACCTGCACGAGATCAGTTGTCACCAGATTCCACATAGTAGAAGTCATACAGTATATGTGTATCTGTGGCTGGCTTGTTTCATTCATTTAACATAATCTCCAGTCTCATCCAATTTAGTCACAAATTCATCCCTTTGCATGGCTGAATAGTATCCCATTGTATAAATGTACTATGCTTTCTTTATACATTCATCACTTGACATACACTTTGGCTGTTTCTATTTCTTAATTATTGAGAATACTGCTTCAATGAACATGGGAGAGCAGATGTCTCTTCAGCATATTTTCATTCTCTCTGCTTAAATACTCAGTAGTGTGACTGCTAGAGCAAAGTGAATTTCCTTTTAATGAATGGCATTCACAAGAAAATGGTGAGTTAAGTGGATTAGAAGAGTAGAAGGGTCACTCTTCCAGAAGACAGGAAAAGGAAAGGAAGGAATCAGCCTGGAAAGATAGTAAGGCTTTAGCCACCTGGGCCAGACAGAGTCCTTGAATCAAGCTGGACGGTGTTAGGACTTATAGCTGGGCAAAGGCTTGTATCCTGAACAAACAGGGTCTTTAGACCAATTTAAAACAGTTGAAGCCTGACCCAGATATGAATCAATAGCCCTTCGCGATAGGCAATAACATATAAACACTTGTGGAATTCCTCTAAACCTCCAAACTTCTAAGTTCTCTGAAGGTCAAAACAACTTATATTAATATGCAGTGCTTGTTCTCACTCCAAGAATGGAGTAAAGGAAGTCGCACCTGATTTCACAGCAGAGAAGTAGAAATAATTCTAAACCACACCCTTAGATTTGTCATAAGAAACCCACCCTGCCCAGAATGCTGGTGCACACCTTCAATCTCACTACTTTGGAGGCAGAAGCAGGTGGATCTCTGTGAGTTCGAGGCCAGCCTGGTCTGCATAGTGAGCACCAGGCTAGCCAGGGCTATATAGTGAAATGCTATCTCAAAACAAAAAGTAATAATAATAAAGAAAAGAAACAGGCCCTGCCACATAACACATATGGAAAAAGTCTCAGAAAAAGCCAGTGGATTGATAGAAGATGACTACTTTTGTCATTACAATTATGTGCCTCCTCAATCCATATTGAAGTTCTAATCCCCAGTACCTCAAAATGTGACTATATTGGAGCTAGGGCTTTTAAGGAAGTGATTTGGCTAAAACAAGGCCATTAAATGGGCCCTAATACAATCCGACTGCAGTCATACAAAGAGAAAATCTGAACATACAAAGGAACACCAAGGTTATACATACAGGTGGAAGACCATGGGAAGTCAAGTCAAAGAGAGGCCTCTGCAAAGTACACAAACATATCAACACTTTTTGATCTTGGACCTGTGGCCTCCAAAACTATTTCTGTTGTTAAAACCATGCAGTCTGGTATTTTGTTACAACAGCTCAAATAAACTAATATACTGACTTGGAACCTGGACATGAACAAATCCGGCTGAACTGTGATATTACCTTTCCCTAAGAACATCTGGCACATGGTTAGGAGTCAATTATTTGTGGGGAGTATAATGGTTATCTTAGTGTCCTGTGGAATAAAACAACTATGTTATCTCTGTGTGATATGGTGGGAAGTGAGCATTGCTGGTGAATTCAAGTACGTTAAACAGGTCACAGAAAGCATTAATAATTGTATGTATTGAGCAATTTAAGTTTCAAGATGTAATATCAATGGAAAATGACACGCCAGGCGATGGTGGCACACGCCTTTAATCCCAGCACTTGGGAGGCAGAGGCAGGCAGATCTCTGTGAGTTTGAGGCCAGCCTGGGCTACAAAGTGAGTCCCAGGAAAGGCACAAAGCTACACAGAGAAACCCTGTCTCGAAAAACCAAATAAAATAAAATAAAATAAAAAATAAAAAAATAAAAATTAAAAACAAAAGTTCAAATAATGGTAGACAAAGGGAAAAATAATCAGATTAATATAAAAATATTGAGGTGTATATAATGGCTTTATAAAATGGATTAACTGCTTCAAGTCTATTTATATTTTACATGGAATCCTCTAAATGTTGGATATACTCATGCTATTATTTCTCTAATTTATCTGCTATATTAAATGTAAATGCTCAGAAAAATACAACAGCCTTCCTTTAAGGGAGACTGGGCTGACCAAGCGTGGTGGTATATGCCTTTAGTCCCAGCACTGTAAGTTTGAGGACAGCCTTGTTTGTCTACACAGTAAATTTTAGGACAGCCAGAGCTACATAATAGAGAGACCTTGTCTCAAAAAGAGAGAGGGGGAAGGGACTGGACCAAATGTCCCAGAGGGTGGACTTAGTGGAAAGAGTTGACACAAATGTTATCAAGACATAAAATAGAATCATGAATAATACTCAATCCAAAAGAAGGTGAAAATGAGGAAAAAGTAAATCAATAATTACATGACCTGAAAATTATCTCAACACTGCAACAAAAAGCAGACAGACTGTCAAATTGAACTTTTTAAAAAGCAGGACACAGCCCTACAGCTGCTTATAAGAAATTCAGATGAAACATAAACATGTTCAAAGTAAAGCTAGTCAAAAGAAAGCTGGGATCATTAGTATCATCAGCTAAAACAGATTTCAGCACAGAGTATTAACAGGTACAAAATGGAACATTTCCGAATGGCAAAGGGTCACATTATCAAAAGACTACAACAATTCTAACAGTCTGCACCTAAAAAGAGTGCTCCAAACCCTTCAGAGAACTGAAAGAAGAGACAAATACAACACTTTAGTCTGAGCTTCCAATATCTTTCCAATAATCAACAGAACAAGTAGACAGAAAAATTACGAGTGAAGGAGTAGAAAACTTGAACAGCTTTATCAACCAACTGAACCTGACATTCATAGCAAACAATACAGGATCTGCATACATTCCAAGTAAGCATGGAAGATTTACCAAAGGACAATAGTTTATGGACAAGATCCTATGTCAAAAACCCTCGTAAATTAAAAGGATTCAAATCATAACAATTATATTCTCTCACCATAATGGAATTAAATTAAGAAATAATATCAAAGAAAAATATGGAAAAATGGCATGACTAATGCAATTAGTTGACTATTCTAAAAGACCCTTGGTTGAAGACAAAAAGAGAAAATATTTTTACCTGAATGAAAATGAAAACATATAAAAAATAGCTAAATCTTTATAGGAAGTTTTATATCATTAAATGCTCATATTATAAAAAGGAGAAATGTTGGAAATCAAGACATTGAATCAGAAACTGGAGGGGTGGGGCCCAGCAATCTGTAGCCCTCTAAGTAATTATGATGCATGTCATACTTTGAGAGTCACTGCTATATGTTATCTGCATGTCATTTTTGCTGTAGCCTTTATTCTTCAATAAAGAACCTACACAATTTAGACTGATCCGAAGTTCATGTCACTAAAGCCAATCTTACTTTCAGTGGTCTGTTAATCTTATGTTGACTTTAGAAAATAGAATCCTGCAAGTGATTAACCCTGCAAGTAAGAATTTGTTTGCTAAAACATTCCAAAATTCAGAGACCAGAGTTATAGCTGCAGGGGTGTAGGGTACAGGTATCAGTGGGGAATATGACCTTATTGAATAATTCCTACTGTTTATGCTGGGCTTCCCATGTGGGAATCAAACCATGTTTTTTAATCATGTTCATTGCTGAAAAGCAGCAGACATTTGGATCTAAATGGTTAATGATATAAAAAGAATTTGTTTAAGATGGGCATGCTGGTTGTAAGCCTTTCATCCCAGAACTCAATGAGGGTGATGAGTTAAGGTCAGAGTTGACTACACAGAAAGTTCAAAGCCAGCCTCGGCTACAGAAGATCATGTTTCAAAACAAAAAAGAATTTGCTTGAAATACGGTTTTATACCTACAGTTGAACGTGAAATTCTCTCATGTTCTGGAAAGCACTTCAAACAAAATACTGCAGCCCAAAGAAGCACCAATTCCATTCAGCTGCAGCAACTCTCAGGTTGGCAAGCCAAAAAAAAAATATTTGGGAGGTAAAATCTGGCTCAGTTACTTAAGCTACCCTCCACCTCAAAATCCTCCTACCTCAACCTCCTCAATGTCAGAGTTACAGGAATGCACTACCACACCCAAATTAGTGAACATCATCTTTCCGACTGATTCAATGTAATAATAATGTCAACAGATCTGGTCCATCTGAATTTGCGTCTCACATCATTCCTAGGGACACCTAACAAACAAATGTAAATAAAACTTTCAGCTGGGCAAGGTGGTGAACACCTTTAATCCCCAGCACTCAAGAGGCGGGAGGATCTCTGTGAGTTCCAGGCCAGCCTGATCTACATAGGAAATCACAGGCCAGCCAGGGCTATACAGTGAGACCCTCCCTATCTTTAAAAAAATTCAGTAAGAACTTGAAGGCAACATTCTGCCATGGAAGAACTGTTAGATGAATTTTAATTTTATTGTATGATAGTCTTCAAACTAAAGTAGGTGGGCATGGTGGTGCACACCTTTAATCCCACTCTGGAGGCAGAGGCAGGCCTCTAAGTTCAAGGCCAGCCTGGTCTACAAGAGCAAGTTCCAGGACAGCCAGGGCTACACAGAGAAACCCTGTCTCAAACAAACAACAACAACAACAGAAGTAAAAGTACGGAGGGTAAAATCCAGTCAATCTACTCAAAGGTGCTTTCCTCCTCTGAGCCTCACGGATCTTTTCAGCTTTAGTTCTTCCTAAAAGACTACCTTCTGCTCCTTCTTATGCTTTTGAACAGAGCCCCACAGCAGCTGGCTGTGGGGCCAGGAGAGTGTAATTCATCCAGCCACCACAGTTAGAAGTTTTAATATCAATGTAGAATGGGATCAGGGTTTTATAAGCACATTTCAAAAGCGCAAAGATTGAGTCTAAGATTGTTTCTCTCCCTTTTAGAAGCTTAAATATGAGCACATACAAACTTTATATATTTTTAAAGAACATTAGTTTTTGTCTATTTTAATACAGCTATAGTTGTAAAACATGCAAAATAACTAAGTTCCAAACCAAAGGCAACTAGTAGAAACAACTACATTAAAAAGAATCATGTTGATTTACTTATCAGCCACAAAATGCAGCAAAGCCTCCACTTTCCTGCACACTTTAGAAAAACTCCTCAGTTCCTTTGCAGAGGGCTGACTTAGCTCTCTCTTGTCAGCATCAGGCATTCGTGGTTCCGTCTTTGTAGATTCCTGTTACAGATCCAGATACTGAAAAGGCCCTGCCATCTTCTTCACTGTATTAAAGCTTTGCAAGCACCTGCCCTCAATCCCCAGTTTGGGAAATGAGCCAGGAGGAACACAACAGTTTAGCGGAAGAGTTAACCAGACATCCTGGGTCTGAAAAATTAAGCGAGGACATTAATGGCAACATAAAATTCCAGGATATATTCTTGTTCTCTCTTCTCCAAGGTGCCTGCATATATAATACAAGGAAGTAGAGTATGGACAGTTACAACAACCACATACAAGAAACCACCCTAGAGCCAAAAGCACAGTAAAGAAAATGTAAACTATAGTGTGCTGAAGAACTAACTCTTGTTTGGGTTTCTTTGCAGCTGCAAGCAACCTCCAAACCAAGAGCGTCACAAGTTCGACAGTTTCCATGCACTGACTAAGGGTGCGGTGATTTCCATGAGCAGACGATTAAAATTTCCATCTTTTTAAGCACTGTGGGTGTGCTTCATTGTTGAATTTGGTACCACATGTGAGGAAATGACCAAATCAAACAAATAAACTTCCAATATTTCTTGTTGCTACACCTACTTCCAATGTTAAAAGGCATTCCTAGCTGGGTGGCGGTGGTGTACGCCTTTAATCCCAGCACTCTGGAGGCAGAGCCAGGCGGATCTCTGTGAGTTTGAGGCCAGCCTGGTCTACAGAGTGAGATCCAGGACAGGCACCAAAAACTACACAGAGAAACCCTGTCTTGAAAAGCCAAAAAAGAAAAAAGAAAAAAGAAGGTATTCCTAATGTATTTTCTCCATTATTTCTCAAACAAATTAGTAAAAACAAATATGAAATCCATTCACAACCATAATATCACACAGAGTATTTCGTCTTCCTTTAACAACTTAGTCTGTTCCAAAGTATTTCTGTCCAAAATGTGTAGGTGCAACAGGATGAACTTCAGTAGTTAAAATTGTGATCTCTGGAAATTCTTGAATGATTGATTTGGCACCTTCAAAAAGTAAAAATAATTGTTATTACTGCAAGATTTTGGTAACACTAGTTAGAATTCAGAAAGTTTATAATCATTGTCTCCAGACTCAATACTGACAGAAAATAAGGAACAATCATCTTTGGATGCTGAGTTAGGGATGTTTAATCTCTAATGTTATACAATATCTGGTATCTGAAAAGCTTTGCTAGGAGTTCAGACCATACTCCTACCCACTCAAAAATATGGTCTGAAAATCAAATTATTCAATTACACCAGCTTTGGCTAGAATCAAGTAATATGGCACTCTCTAAAAGGAAAATCACATGAAATGAAAGTTTTCCAACTGAAACACCATAAAACAAGTGTGAAGGCGTCTTTGGTCTGTCAGAGAATGCTAGTTGTTTAGAAATAAGGATTCAAGCTTAAGATGAGGGGATTGGGTGGGACCCCAAACCAAAAAGCCACAGTGAAAACTGCTACACAATGTGGATTTTTCAGTTTTAATGCCAAACAATGGGACACTGTTCCAATTAACACAACTACAGCTAAAGAGATTATTTTTCTTTTGCCAAAGGTGGATAATTACTGGATTATCTTAATGTTTTCAATGTCACCAGTGCTCCATACAATGGGCAATCAAGCAAATCACCCTTAGTCACCACTAGTATTTGAATTCCAGGTACATTTAGGTTACAAAAGAACAAAGTAATCCAATAGGCCACAATTAGACACAACAGCGTACTGAGAATAGCCTTTCTAACACACATGCTGTGGCTTCTGAGGTTTGCCTGAAACCTGGCCTAGCCGGAAATGAGAGAACAGCCTAACTAAAGAAGCCATCTATTTCTCTTTCAATTCTGAAACAAATATAACTCACTGTAAAACATTTAGAAAATGTCCAAAAAAACAAAAGCTTAAAAATGAAAGTCATTTAGAATTACGCCTGAAAATAACCACTATTAGTACTGTGTGTGCATTTTGAAACCAGAATTGAAATAGCATTGTATATCTTTCTAGCCAGTCACATTGAGGTCAAATTTATTTGGTTTTATGCTAAAGTCTGCTTTTGGTAGTTAGTGTTATAATTTGTATTTGGTCATCTCTAAACTTATTGGTAACATTTCACAATATTTCTTTATATTTGTATTAATTCTTTGAGAAATTCATACAATATATTTTGATCTTATTCATACCTCGTCCCTACTCCCTACCCACTCAACGTCATGTGTTTTTGTGTTCTCTCTTTTCCTCTCCTCACCCTCAAACAATCAAGCACAGGCTGGGTTACCCAACTCCTTTGGTGTGTCGACCTAGCAGGGGTCAAAGCACTCAAAAACTGACTCTCCCTCTCCCAGCAGCTATTAGAGGCCAGTAGCTTCTCAGCTAGCAGTCGGATTCCATGTCCACCTTGCCTATCTCCATGCTAGCTAGGATTTTATCTGGCTTGAGCCTGCACAGGTCATATGCATGCTGTCACATCCTCTATGAGCTCACCTGTGGAACAGTCTATAAAACACTGTTTCCTTAAAGTCATCCACTACTTCTGGCTCTTAAGATCTTCCACCCCTCCAAAAAGGTCCTGAGACTTTGGAGGAGGGATGCATTTCACAGCATGTAATTGCCTTGTTTGTGCTGCTTTTTCACACTTGCTATCTATATTTTTATATCACTAAATGTTGTTCAAAAGCAACTTCTGCAAGGTATGTAATATATCCTCTAAATAGATATTACTTATATACTCATTTTCTTATCAGTCATCTATGTAAGTCCATTTGTTGTTGTTGTTGTTTTTGAGACAGTCTTGCTATATAGTTTGGTGCTTTATGTCAGGCAGGCTGGCCTTGAACTTGCACTGATCCTCTTGTCCCTGCCTCCCAAGTGCTCGAATTACAACAATGTGTCACCATTCCCAAACGCCATTTACATACTTTCAAATTACTTCTTATACTAAATGACTCTATAATGAAGACCCTAGAAACTAAATTCTTATGCCTCTATGATTATTTTCTTGCCATGTATTCCTAATTGCCCTAGATTGTTTGGTAAGAAAGCCAGAGTCTTAATTTAGGTACATCTCTTGCAGGAAATGGGGAATAGATGACTTCCTCACATGTCCTTAAAACAGACATCTAATTCAAAAAACATCTGATCTTCATGTCACATTCCAAAGACTACTACCAGAGAACCTGGGTTCGATTCCCATCACCCACATGGCAGGTTACAACCATCTGTAATTCCAGTTCCAGGGGAATCAAACACCCTTTTCTGGCCTCTGAGGTACACAAACATACATGTAGCAAAACAACATACACATAAAATAAAATAATGAAATAAAAAATTAAACATCAGAATGGTGGAAAACAAGCCAGACATGCTAATATATGCCTGTGGTCTCAGTTGCTTTGGAAAATGAGACAAAAGGATCGCCTGAATTAAGATCAGTGTGTGATACCTTGTCTCAAAAAATCATTTAATATTATCACTAAGCTTAGAGATGACAAACACAACTCATAACTACCAAAACTAGATTTAAATTGAATATGGACATACAACTCTATTTTTCCTTGGGACAAGAGGCTAGAGAGATACACACTATCTCATCACCATCTGGAGCTCAACTTATAGCTGCAACTTAACTCACCATGGGGAGTGGAGAAGAGACTGAGTAGGATAATAACACTGGGTTGAACTCCATGTTCTATAAGAACCTTTACAGCTTCAATTACAGTGTTTCCAGTGCCTAAAACAAAAAGGCAACCAAACCCATTAGCAATGTTAACATCTATATTGAAATGGTCTTGAATTAAGGGCAATACAGTAATCTTAACATAAGACTTGACTAGTGAACGCTTCATCTGAAAGTGCTTGTTCTTTGTCAGTGTTATCTTTGATGATGGATACAACATAAACAGGCATCAAATGTACAAGTCCTAAACTCACTTATTGCTTGAGATACCAAATTTCACACCAACACCACCCCTGCTCACTTCCCTGGGAGACCATGATATGAGAAAGTACAGGGATGAGAGCAGAATACTAGAAAAAAATTACCTCTAGAAAGGATAAAACCTTGTGAAAATCACTAAGGTAAAGACAGAACATGTTTCAATATATTTTCTGTGTTCTATATATTTTGCCTCATTAGGTCCTTTGCTTCAATGTGTTCATTTCAAAACAGATGTTCTTTGGAGCTAACCAAGTTTGACTAATGTATATTCCCTTATTACACAATAAAAATTTCCCAGTGAACTGCCCAGGGCAACTCCAAATCCAACAGAGACAAACACATTTAGAAACTGGTTTTGCCTTTTATATAAGGGTGCGTAGGAGGTAGACACTAACTTGAATTTAAACTCTAACAAAAAAATTACAAATGCAACTTAAGCTACTCACTGAGAATTGGATACATCAGAAGGACTTTTCTGCGATAAATGTCTGGAGGGAACTTGGCATAATACACTTTGGCCCTTTGTGTCTCCTCATCGCTCTGAATCAGGATCTTCCCGATTCGTATGGATCGACAGCAGTCTCGTAAACCTTGCTCCATTGCCTCACCTTGAAGAAGGACATGAAAAGCAATCAAGGACAAAGGGTGACGGCAGACAGAGTGCAAACCCAAGAACAGGCCGAAGCAGAGCTTTTCACCGCTATTAATATAAAACGAGCACTATCAAGACAGAAGCATTCTTCTTTCTCTTCTACTGTGCTTATATTTTATTCTTAGTAGGAACTCAATGAAAGCAGATGAAAGGCTTGTCAATGAAACCACGATAAGCTAGACTTATTGTCTGCTTACAAGCTATGGAGCTCTTCTGTTTCCATAATTACAAAAATAAAAGCTTGACTGGGTTGTTCCTTGAGCTTCTTCTACATCAGAGATACTTTTCCACATTATTTTTAAAGAAGATTTTAAGCCAACTAAATTTGTTACTTTCATCAGAGAAAAATATAAAAGATTCATGAAAGACTGGGGGCTGTAGGCCAAAGGATTGCCTTTTAGATAAAAGTGGCTAGGATTCATCACTTAGTTCAACAATGATTTCACTGACAAAAGTTTCCCTGCAAGTAGTGAAAGAGTAGTATGTTGTTCTCCCTTCCCCATAGAGCCAGCTTGACGCCCACTCCATTGGTTACTAAATACAAGCTACATTTCTTTTTTTTTTTTTTTTTTTTTTGGTTTTTCGAGACAGGGTTTCTCTGTGTAGCTTTGCGCCTTTCCTGGAACTCACTCTGTAGCCCAGGCTGGCCTCGAACTCACAGAGATCCGCCTGGCTCTGCCTCCCGAGTGCTGGGATTAAAGGCGTGCGCCACCACCACCCGGCTACATTTCTTTAATGTGTCTGTGTGGGTAATGTTTGTAGACATGTCACATGTGAATGGGCACACATGTGTATGCATGCATGTGGAAGCTCAAGGTTGACTTCAAGAGTCTTCCTTAATCCTTCTCCATCTTATTTTTTGAGGCAAGATCTCTCAATTGAACCTAGGGCTTCCTGATATGACGAATTTGGTTAACCATCTTGTTCCAGGGATCTCCTGCCTGTGCCTTTTGAGTACTGGAATTACAGGCAGGCTGACACACTTAGTTAAACTTCAGTCTTCACACTTGTATGGCAGGTGATTTAACCACTGAGCTATCTCCCCAGCCTCTAAATACAGGACTATTCCTGAGTCTGAATTCCGTTAAAGAAGTATTTTCTAAAAATCAATCATTCTCATGCAGTCTTTAAGATTTTGCATTACTTTAAAATCTACCAGTACTGGTATTTACTTAATATTTTTTAAATTAACTTTTCATTTAAATTTAAGAGGAAACTTTAGTGCATTAGTGTAAACATATAACCAGTTTCTTCTAAAAATATATACAATAAACAACAAGTGGCTTTTAAGAATAAAAACAACTATGTCAAAGCTGGGGATGGAGGTTGATGATAATAGTGTGTGTATAACATGTACAAGATTCTGAATTCAAACCATAGTACCAAAACACAAAAGACAAAAAAAAAAAAAAAACCCACAACCTCTCAAGTCTGCCTTTATCTCTCTGAATCATTCATCTGGTAAACAATAGAGGTGTGTTGTGGGATATTTTTCTCACACTCTGACACTCCTGAGACTATACCTTGGATAAGGGGGCAGAGCTAGTGACTAGCTGACCAGAATTGGCCATACAGAAGGCAGCAATTTGGATAGAGAAGATGCACAGGAAGGAAAGGGTGGAGACTGGAGTTTGAGCTTCCTCTTGGTTCTGGGACTAGGGAAGAGACTTGTCTCTTGCGGTATCTCTGGCCAAAAGCAAGGTCAGCTAATTGCTACACAGCCTCTCTGAGCTAGCATGTCTTCACTCCAGCCTTTGACTCCTGTGTCTTACTGTTAAATAGAATGATAGAGACTTAATTTAAGCCTACATAGCATGGCCAGGACTGCGGGACCACAAGCTCCGTCAGGCCAAGGCCTAAGTGGCTGATGAAGCACTGACTGAGGGGCCATGGGTAGCAGATGATAATTAAAATATCAGTAGATTCATGTGCAGTCACTAAGCCAACAGAAAAACATCAGAGGTGCAAGGACCAAGCTGGGACTCTCAGAGAAGCTGGGACTCTCAGAGCTGAGAAGAAACTATATCCAACTTCAAATGCTGAACAACACTATCCTGAGAATGCTTTCACTGCTTAAGAGCTATCTTCCTGCAAGAACAGAGCCTAAAGCTCCTTTTGTAATTGAAGTGTTCAATTGTTCACAAACACAACCAGAGCAAGAGAAAAATGAATGTTTCTAGGTTTTAAAAATCCATCTGTTTCCAGTGCAAACAAGTGAGGCTTCCAGCTCTTGTGAAAAAAAAGTTCAGTTTGCTGAAGAGAAATCATTCCTGTGTAATGGGTACACATTCTCATCTCAGGCATGCCATTTTGCTGCACCAAAGTTATTAGTTAAGATGATCAGTTGGACTCAAAGCATCACTACAAAATGTATAAGATCAGGAAGTGGAAATATCTAGAGCTAATGACAGCTAGATACTTTTGCCTATGTAGTCACATAGTCACAGAATATAAAATTTAAAACATTAAAGAAGTCCAGCTTTTGGCAGAGTTCCCGGCAACACAGATAAAAACAGAGGAGGCATTTTCTCCAGCCAGGTATCCAAATGTTCTTCTTCAGAATTTAATGTATGCCACATTCCTTCAGTCTGCAAACCATTCTCCCCAAGACAGGAGCATCCTGTCCTCCCAGCCTGCTCTCCTCCCACCCTCCTTTGAGACGTTTTAAAAGCTGGCTTCCTCGTGGGAGCAGGCCACTAGGGAAGATGCCTGCAATTACAATTAGCCAAACTTAGCAGCACATGGGCCATGACTCCAAGGCACCATGAGGATAGGCAACACAGGTGGTGAGATTTAAGCAAAGGCAGGATGCAATTATGACAAACCAGCCCGCCTCTCTCCTGGAAAATAGCAACTGTTTCCATGCATGCAAAGAAACAAAATATTACACATGCAAACCTACCGCTCCTCATTATGCTGACCCCACAATTTCCTTTCTCAAATTTCACTCCTTCATACTTGTGCCCTGTTGGGAAATAAAGTAAAAAATAGATGCTTTATCATTAGAGCAATGTGCATATTCTATAAGGTGATCATGGTTCAAAGCAGATGAGAACAGAGCAACCCTTGCCCAGACACATTGTATAACACCTTGGGTTTCGTGTAAAAGTAATGAGTCATGATTTTTCATAGTCATTTCTTAATTCCTCAGAAGAAACCTGTGAGAATAATTGGAAGAGGAGGGTTTCATCAAGTGGGAACTGGACTTACTATAGCACAATATTCATATACACATCCTCCAAACTGAATTCAAAGGAGAATTACTGCAGCCCAAGAATACTAGATACCCCATCAATTCACACCAGGGCCTCACTGAGAGCCACAGCAGAAAGCCTCCTCATCCCAGCCCTTAACAAGCAGAAGAAAGAGGCTGAACTAGTTAGCAAGCTACTCAAAACTTGGTCTCATTCTGAACTGCGTCAATTATGCTGTAACAAACTCAGCCCTCAATTGTTCATAGCAACCCTCTGCATAGAAGAGTTTTCAATCGTTTATTAAAAAAAATCAGAATTTCACATCTCTGAAAGGGGGATTGTAGGCTATTTTTATTAGAACAAAGCACCTCCAAATCTTATCATTTTTAGTTTTCTTTCCCTTTTCCACATCTCATCTTTTTTTTTAACCCAGAGTTTCTGGGCCAAACCAGTCTCCAGCATTTGTTAGTAGCAGCGGCTTCCCCACAGAGGTGAAGATAAGCTGCCAGCAATTCTTAACTCTGGTCCCGGTGGGCTGCCACCAGAAGCGACACCTGCATGCTGAAGAGTATGTAATAACCTTTAACTTGAATTGACAAGCAAGCCATTAACAAAAAGTCACCTACATAGATTTCTTTACAAAAGTCTCTCTTTTTTTTAAGATGTTAAAAAAATAGCTCTACCCAAACTCATTTTTCACACTGATTTTCCACAAGACGCCTTCCTTCCATTTTCCTCCCTCCACCCTAGTTCAGGACTTTTATGAGGAAAAGCTGAGAGTGCAAGCCGTGATTACCTGTCGGCGTGGTCACCGTGCATTCTTTATATGGCAGCTGATTCAGTCCCTCTTCTACAACAAGTCTGATCTACAAAGTCAAAGAAAGAGTAAGTTGAGGGCCTTCAGAGTCTCCTGCTAGCTGCTAGCCTCGGGAGCTGAGGGTTTAGCTCATGCAGGAAGGAAGGGGGCCCCTACCATGTATTAACTCCAGGGACACATCGAAATGCCAGGCTGCTTTTTGCTAAGGACCCAACTTCCATTTGACACAATAACTGTCACCAAAGGGCTCCAATGTGCCTTCTGAGTCAGTCAAGAATATGAGAATGGAAAACTTCAAAAGGAGTTATAGCAAAAACATCGGTAGTAATAAAATTATGGGTTACTGTGGAAAGTGCCCACCTAGAATTCTCTACCTTGCCTAGTACCTTTGAAATCTTTGCAATTTAAAAATGAACTTGTATTCATTTTTAACAAAGGTCCACCATAATACAAATAAAAACCTAAAAGTCCTTATGAGAAAATGAATAAGTAGATGGGCTGAAGCAATTTATTAAGTCTGAAGGAGGACCCAGTAGAATATCCTGGGACTCCTCAGCTAAAGAAAAGTACCATGAAGCCTATCTAGATGGCAGATAAGCAGGTAGAAGGATAGAACTGACTCCCAAAAGTTGTACTATGACTTTCACATGCATCCACAATGGTATGAGCAGGTGTGTGCACACACACACATACATGCACACACAAGTAAAGAAATAAATATTTTTAAAATGTTAAAACAGAGTTTTATGAGTCTCATAGCAATTATGTGGTAGAGGGAAAGAATCACTCAAAATTATTAGAAGCAGTCTCTCACAGCGAGATCTGAGCAACCAGAGCCCACTATAACAAAGACAGTGCTGAGCCTGTAGCGCACATTTTCTCCGATCAATATTTCTCAGTCCGTTACTGATTGAGAATCAGGAACAGCAGGTAGAAGTAGGAAGCTTCATTCTCTGTTATCACAACACATCACCCTGCTGCCATTAAAAGGATCAATCGGAAATGGCCCATCACTTTGTCCCCCTGCAGAATCAGAGAATGGGCCCAGAAACCTTTTGAATAGTGTATGCAAGAGCACACTGACTGCTACCTACCACCTTCCTTGACTATTATGTTTGCTCAAGAGAAAATTACAGGGAAGAAATGTTTTCTTTCAAAAGTCCCTATCTCTTTCCTCTAGTAACATACCTCAAACGAGCCTTGTTTCCTGCCCCATCACCTGAAACTCTGGGACAGAAATGATCATGTCTGGAAGAGCCAGAGGTTGGAGAGGACTGCGGTGAAATACTGTTTTCTGGACATGGCTGGGCCGTTGCACACTCACCCCAGCTGTATTTGCACAAGAAAGGCCCAAGATCAAGCCAATCAACACTCCACATACATGGAGGAGGAGCTCACAGGCCCCACCCCTAACTGAGCAGCTATTAGCAGTTGATGGCTTCTGAAGGAGGAAGAGTCATTGTCTTTTAGAGGTGTGGCCCCTGAAAGGTTGACCCCACTCCATTGGATGGCCTCACACCCAGGTGCATGTGGGCAGCATAAAGCAGACTCTGTCGGCTATGAAAAGAAAGAGGATATGAAGTTGGCTGGGAGTGAGAGGAGTTGGGGGGGAGTGAGGAGGAATATGATCAATGTATATTGTAAACACATATGAAATTTCCAAAGAATAAATAAAAATATATAAACATAGGTGTGGAGACAGGTGTGTCTAAGTTAGAGGAGAGCATAAAACTAGAAGAATGGCTAAAATTCCTTTAAAGGATGGGTTGCAGTTCAGTGGAACAGCATGTGTCAAGTACACTCAAGGCACTCAGTTCAGCCTTCACCACTCTCTCCCCAAAATAATTAAGATGTAAAGAACTGTAGGAAGCAACTCTCCACAAACTCAGGATAACATCAATTGCCCACTATCAGGGATGGGACCCTTGTATTGAGGAGATGGTGGACTGGAAATCATCAACAATAAAAAATATACACAGACCACTTAACCCCAACTCATCATGGTCCTTCAGAGCCAACTCAAAGAATTGAGAAGCCCAAATTACCATACCCTATGTGAAGTATGCCACATATCTCATTTGGCTAGGATATAATACCTGTTGTTTCAGAGAAGCATTTTAGAACACCCATGAACTTGACTCCTACTTTCTATAACGAAAAGAAACATATATATATATATACATATATATATATATATATGTATGTATATATATATATATATATATATATATATAGAGAGAGAGAGAGAGAGAGAGAGAGAAAAGAAAGAAGGCACAAGGGAAACAAAAGAGAGATGAAAAAATTTACCAGAAAACAGAGACTCCTATACTCTGCTCAGCAGCCATTAAAGTGAAAGTTCCTGATGCCTCAAAACAGTTTGGGTTTTTTATTTGTTTGCTTTTTGCTGAAAACATAAAAGAAGGCTGAAGAGATGGTTCAATTGATGGTAAGTACTTGTTTTGTAAACATGAAGACCTAGGTGCAATCTCTAGAAGCCACATAAAAAAGCCAAGTGGCAGCATATGTTTTATAACCTAGTAACAGGAGGATCTCCGGAGGACTTGACAGCCAGTCAGCCTAGGCTAACTGGCAAGCCCCAGATCCCAGTATGAAACCTTATGTGGGAAAAAAAAAAACATGAGGTAGATGGCTCCTGAGAAGCAACCAAGACTGATCTCTGGCCTCCACACTCGAGGTTGACCTTTGGTTTCTACATGCAAGCACACACATGCACCTCCACAAATACACACATACATACAAAGAAGAAAACATGAAAGACAATGGCTACTGCCCCAGGAATGTCAACCATATTTCTCTTGCTGCTACCAACAGCTATTACTATCCATGTAAGTTTAAATAGAATTGGGTCTCTCAAGCCAGAATATTTAAAGCCAAAAGCAGAAGAGGAGTTGCCTATACTCTTTTAGAATATATGCTCTAGGAAAAATCAAAATTAAAAGTTTTATGCCTGTTTCTCACACTTCCTTTCCTATTTTCTTTGATTTGATTATACCTACAAAGTTAATAAGCCACATTTCTTTCTTTTTTTAACTTTTTTTTTGGTTTTTCGAGACAGGGTTTCCCTGTGTAGCTTTGCGCCTTTCCTGGAACTCGCTTTGTAGACCAGGCTGGCCTCGAACTCACAGAGATCCACCTGGCTCTGCCTCCCAAGTGCTGGGATCAAAGGCGTGCGCCACCACCGCCCGGCCACATTTCTTTCTTAAGCTAAATACTAACAACAGTGTTAAGCTTGTAAATTCCCCAAGAGCAAGGACCATATCTATATTCCTAACTGTCTTATCTCCTCCCTCCCAAAATAGTCTAGTGCAGAGCCTAACATCTACCCAATGTTTATTTTCATGAATGAAGAGCATTAGTCTTAGCAACTAATTATCAATTTCATTCCAAGAACGGAGCATCCTTAGGTATCAAAACAAGAATGAAAAGCTGTGGCAAAGCAATTTGGTCTGAGATGTATACTGACTATATAAGGATTAGGTTTGGTCAGGACTTAATAGGATGCCCTTGAAGAAGGAGTATATTGTCCAACTTAGAATTTTATATTGTGAATATATCACAGGGCAGAAGCAAAACAAATACAATTCACATTATAAACTACAAAAGAAAATACACTAGTTTTTACACATTAGTTGATACACAGGGGTGAATGCTAGGTCTCAGAACATACTTAGTTTTCTTCTAATGTGCTTTAATTCATTGTCCTAAGATGAGGCATTTTATGAGTTGCTGAGAACCAGACTGCCAAGATCCATCTAAGAATGACAAGGAATGGATTCATAGGCATTGCTTTGGAGTAAAAGGGAATGAGGCAGCGCTTTAATGCTCTAATGGAAAGAACACTTCAGAAGCCTAGCAAGACAATGGTTACTCAGTGCAATCTCTCTCAACCCCAGAATACTCCACAACAAAAGAGCCCCCTGGTCTACCAGGATCCTATCACTGTGCATAACAGAGAAATGAAAATGGAAAGCCTCCACCTACCAAACGATCCGCAGAAAACATGAAGTCCCCTCTACTGGCTGTCCTAAAAAAAACAGTACAAGTTTTAGTCTAAATTAGAGCTTCAAGGTCAAATATAAAGTTAATACACATAGTAACACTGATATTAAGACCTATTACATACTAAAAGCTGAAATGTTTATGTGTACAATATATTTTTACTAGGATACAGACATCAAAATGAGATGACTTCATAAGTATTAGTGGAAAAGCTTATTTGATTACTGGATATCAATATTTGAGATAGGAATTAAAGATCATGTGATCTCCATTGAGCTGTCAGAAAACAAAGATCCCTTGCAAGACAACAGCAAGGCTATAAGCTCAAATTGAGAAGAAACTTTACGGTAAGAAAAGTAGCTTTTCCCTGCCTTCTGTTAACCTTGCCTTCTGTGCACACAATAGAGAGAAGCAATGCATCTACTTTGTCTCTAGTCCTTCGGGGGATTAAGAGTTAAAATAGTCTTCTGTTTTTGTCACTGTTTTCAAAAACGTGTAACTTCATTTCTAAGCCCCCTTTCTCAAATCATTTATAACTTGTTCTTTTGCCCTGATTTCCAATGAAGCCCTTCATTCCTTAGACTTTTCTGTCATTTTCTTATGCGTTTTCTTCTGGTTAATACCATCTTATCCTGAGGTACTCAGGCAATAGTAATCTAGTCTTGCACATATCCACAAGCTGTTAACCAGCCCCCCCCCCCCCCAAAAAAAAGAATGTTAGGAGACTGATGCTTTTTCTGTATGTAAAATTCTCTTCCTTCTTTCATGGAAGTTAAGCATTTTGATAGAATGGATTCATTAACAGTTTATGTACTTAAAATTTTCTACCTGCCTATCCAAAATATACTAAAATATTCCTCACCACAGCATCAAAAGGACAAATGCAAGTGCTGATTATCTCAGCAGACCATTCATCACTTTTTTTTGCATATGCACTCATTTTTTCTAACAGGAAAACAATACAATATACCAAATACAAATGACATCATGTTTCTTACAGTAATCACAGCTCTATCATATTGTAGATATTAACTCCCTAAAAATTAAACAATAGTAAGAATATGGGTTTGTAGTCTTTATATAGACGATTCTCTAGACTCAAAAAATTTACACACACACACACACACACACACGTGCGCCTAACCATATACATAGAGATGACAACTAAAACAGGTTCTATTACATGTACTGCTGTTTTCAAATGAGAACAGTGTCTTTCATTTTTACAACTCATTTTCAAAACACACCTGTCAATGAAATGAGAAGCAGAGAACTATTAAAAAAAATACTGCTCTTGATGCTAGACCTATGCAAATTTGCCTCAGCAGCCAAAATACACCTTTTCAAGGGGGAAGAAAACTCTGAATTTTTCAGGTTATTTTAGAAACTTAGTGCATTTCTTTAATTTTTATATTTATTTCATGCATGCAAGTGTTTTGCCTGAATGTATAGCTGTGCACCATGTACATGCCTGATGCCCATGGAGGCTAGAAGGGGGCATTTGATTCCCTGGAATGAGAATTACAGGTGGTTATAAACTGCCATGTGGGTGCTGGGAACACAACCAAGGTCTTCTGTAAGAGCAGCAGGTACTCTTTTTAACTGCTGAGCCATCTCCCAAGCCATCAAGTCTGAAATTTTCTTTTTTTTCTTTTTGGTTTTTCAAGACAGGGTTTCTCTGTGTAGCTCTGGCTATCCTGGAACTCACTCTGTAGACCAGGCTGGCCTCAAACTCACAGTGACCCACCTGCCTCTGCCTCTGCCTCCCAAGTGCTGGGATTAAAGGTGTGCACCACCACTGCCCAGCTGGTCTGAAATTTCTTAAAAGAAATGTCCTATAGGGTTGGGGATTTAGCTCAGTGGTAGAGTGCTTGCCTAGCAAGCGCAAGACCCTGGGTTCGGTCTTCAGCTGGGGGGGGGGACGACAAAAAAAACAAAGAGCTTATGCAAATGAGATGTTTTTAAAAAAAGAAATGTCCTACATGTTGACAATATGTCTTTCATACATCAAGTTATTACACAAAATAGTTATATCAGGTAAAGCGATCAGAGCTATCACCATTTGTTATTTTAATTTGGAATCTGACATTTTAACACTTTTCATACCCCCTCTCCCCCCAAATCAGCTTTAGCTGATAGTCTTTGCATAATAAGTACTTTATCTACATTCTACAAAAGGTATACACTGAGAATCTAAAAGGAATTGCCTTCTCTTAACAGTTATTTGACCTACAAAAGAAATCATTCATTATTCCACGATGAACAGTAATTACTATCTTGCCTTCTGTTATTTTAGACAGACTTCAACTCATACTATTTACTTTAAATCAATTTAGAAATTAATGGAAAGCTAGAATACAATAAAGTGATTACATTTATTAAAAATCCACTGTGGCCTTCAACATCATGTTGAAATTCTTAACACTGTTGAGAATAGTTTCATAAAAACAGAATTTGCTATCAGATACAGGTTCCTGTATTCTCTGAGTTCTTCCTTTGGGCCCAGTGCCGGTCTGAATCATTTGTTTAAAAACATGTTTTAATGGAAACTAGACTCCGAGTACTATTCACCCCATACACCTTGTTTCAAAACGTAATTATTCATATTATTTCAAAACCACTCAAAAAATCTTGTCCCACAGAAACAAAGCTTTGTAAAATACCAACCATCTTCTAAGAAGAGGCTAAAATAATATAATGTAAAACTGCCATAAAGCAAAATCACACACACACATCCCTAGAATATTTTTTTATCCAGGGTCCATATTGCCTGGCTGTCCTTGAATTCCCTGGCATCAAACTCACAGAGATCCCCCTGCCTCTGCCTTCAAGTGCTGGGATTAAAGGTGTGCACAACCACGCCCAGATCCTAAAATATTCTAAAATGTATTTAAGTAACCAAATATCCTATACTTTAATAAACAATAATATCCAAGCAATCAGAGTCCAAAGCACGGAACTGGAATTAATATTAAACTGAGATCTTTTAAATTATACAAGCTCCAAACATATCCAACAATGAGGATATAACTATATCTAAGAATATTTACTTGTCTAAACAGTCTCCCCTCAAATATATGTGTCACATGCTATAGCAACATGATAAAAACCAAAGGCAGCTGTTTTAAAATGCAATTTTCACATGGAAACACAATTCATACCAGAAACCAAATATTCATTTCAACATGGAGTATCTAAAAGCGAATTTTCCCCATTTGTTAAGTAAGACTGTCTAGATAATACTTTAAAATCTCCAGGGCGCCAGGTATGGTAGTTTATACCTGTAATTCCAGCACTCAGAAGGCTGATACAGGAGGATCAAAAGTTTGAATTCATCCTAAATTACATAGTGAATTGGAGGTAACTACATAAGGAAATCCTATCTCAAACAAAACAAAACAAAAACTGGATGCCAGGTGTCTTACTTACTCTTCTATTGCAATGAAGAGACACCATGAACAAGGCAACTTATAAAAGAGAGCACTTAATTGGGAACTTGCTTATAATTCAGAGGGTGAGTCCACCATCATCGTGGCTAAAACATGGAGGCAAGCAGGCAGGCATGGTGCTGGAGTAGTAGCTGAGAGCTTCCTTTTGATTCACAAGCAGCAGAGAGAGAGAGAGAGAGAGAGAGAGAGAGAGAGAGAGAGAGAGAGAGAGAGAGAAGGGGGTGGACAGAGACAGAGAGACTGGGCCTGGAGTGCTTTTGAATCCTAAAAGTCCACCCCCAGTGACACACCTCCCATAAAGGTCACACCTCCTCCAACAAGACTTCACCTACTAATCCTTCCTAAACAGTCTACCAACTGGGAACCAAACATTCAAAACTATAAACCTAGAGGGACCATTCTCATTCAAGCCCGCACACCAGGTGTGGCGACACATGCCTGTAAGTCTAACTACTGGAAGATTAAGGCAGGAGGATGTTTTATAGCAGTTTCCTCCGAGATTGAAATCTTCCATGTTGGAAGAAAGCTTGTTAAGACACAGGATGTGAAAGGGGTGGTGAAACAACAGGATGTTCTTAAGGGAAGTGAAAAATTCCATCCTGCAGGGAAGGTGGTTAAGATAAGCAATAAACAACTCATTTCTGAAAATGACCAGATAAACTAGCTTCCCACACCCCAAGCATATATAAATTATAAGGACTGCTAAGACTCAGCCTCAGGCCAGCTGCTCTGCCTAGAAGAGGCTCAGACAAATTTAACTAAATACCTGGAAAGGACACCATCCTCCAACCTATTGAGCTGCCCGAAAGGTTGTGCAGTGCACTCCAGGTGGCCAGCTTTTGTGAGCTGTCACCATGCTGAGGTGAGGCAGCTGGCTTTGAGTCATTTCTGCTCCTGCAAGTGACCTCAATAAAACGTACCGCTTCCCTCGCCAAGATGGGCTTCCGTAGTTTTCTTACTTTGATGTATCATTGGTTCCCTATCTGGGACAAATAGATAGATGTCTGTTCACCCAGGAATGGTGCCACACAACAGAAAATCAGTTAAACCCAGGAGTTTCAGGCCAGCCCAGGCTACATAGCAAGACCCTATCTCAAAATAAAGTACAAATGGCAAATGAACAAAATGTTCTTCCTGAAGAGGCAGATGGTTTTATAATATAGCTTGTAAGGGGTAATCCACTAAGGTTACCACATGCAACACACCCTTTGGTGGGTGTGGTGGTATAAACCTGTGATACCAACACTTAAGAGGATGAGGTCAGTAGATCACAAAGTTCAAAGACAGCCTGGCATCCCAAGTTTAAGGCCTGGACCACATATCAAGACCCTGCTTTGAAAAAATACATGCTTTCCAAAAGCAATTAAAAGCAAAGTCTTCCTGAATCATAACTCAAAACAATTTAACTAAAATCAAATCCTAGGAACACTGAATTGGATGTCATTTCAAAAGTTTAAATACATCACTCTTCTTCCTAGAAGATTATACACATGGATTGTTTGTGACCTTTGGAGAAGGGAGACTGGAGTGAGCATTTAGCAAATAAAAATACAGGATACACAATAATGTGAATTTC